TTTATGAACAAGGGATTAAACATGAACATATTTACAAGGTGGATAACATTGATAGCAGATAATTGTTGAGTAGACAGTATATCACTGCGTGCAGATTGATCACTGAATATTAATATGTAGATATTTATAGCATGCAACCCGGTCTAGATCTTACCATGGACTCTGTTATACTGACCTAACGTCTTGATTTTCTCAGATTTTTATATCCTTTCTTTATAAATATTCTTGACATTGACCTGTTACAGTTTTTTTTCCCAAGATCACAGGGTCATTAACCTTACTTCTTAATCCTATAACAATGTCTTTTCGCTAAAGACTACGCACCAGCCAGCCTCTATCCTTATCAGTTCGTTTCTCCATTTTACGGCGCCATTAGACAAACACTGATCTAGGCTAGCTTTGGGAACTATTTACCAAGTCAGCAAAGATACTTTTATAGATTTTTTCATAAATCCACGTTTGTTTGTAACCGAAACCGATTTCAGTAACGAAAATATTTAATGTGATAAAAAGTGCACAGTCAATTCATTCAGTGATTTATAATTTCTAACCTAGGCCTAACTTTCACCATAGTGGCCCACTGACATCGTTGTGCAGGTTTCGTGCTTAATCGTTTCCATACTAGCACGGAGCAATGTTGCATACACTGTGGGCGAGTCTATCTATCTAACAGTGACAGTTCAGCATAGTCTGTAACTGCCGGATAATTTGATGGAATGCAAAAGCTGTCTTAAGATAATAATTTTTATGACATGATTTGCAAAATTCTTTATATGATGTGCTTTTGTCCTTATATGATGTGCAAACATCGTTATATGCAGTGCTTTTGACCTTATACGATGTGTAAAATTCTTTATATGTGGTGCTTTTGACCTTATATGATGTGGAAAACTCTTTATATCATGTGCAAACTTTTTTTCATATTATATACTTTAGTCCTTAAATATGTGCTTACGTCATATGATATACAAACATCTTTATATGTGGTACTCTCGTCCTTATATGATGTGCAAACTTGTTTATATACGTGCTTCTTTATATGCGTTGATTCGCCCTTATATGACGTCCAAACTTGTTTATATGCATGCTTTCTTCCTTACATGATGTGCGAACTTGTTTATATGTGGTACTTTCGTCCTTATATCCGGTTTGTTTGTTGTTGTTGTTGTTGTTGAGCTTAACGCCATTTTTCAGCACACGATAGGCTATTCATGGCGGCCAGTATTAATGGTGGAGGAAGAAACCGGGAAATCACCGGAAAGAACCACCGACCCACGAGAAGCTACTGGCAAGCTTTCTCACATATCCACATTCGCCGAATCCTAGACTTGAACCCACGCAGACAGAGGTGAGATGGCAGTGATGCACATAACTTGGTAATTTCTTTTTCATCATTTATAATTTCAAACTTGATTGTCGCAAAGAGGTCATTCACTTTGTCTACTTATTCGTGTTTCAAACTAACCTAAACAAGGAGACGAACTGCTAAATGTTTTTAGTCTATTTTAGTCAAACCTTTGTCTTCATAGTCATATTTGCAATGTCCAATCGCAGCAGACAGGGTGAACAGACTCTAATTGGTTATCCGTTGTATTTTTTTTTCTTAAAACTTCCTACGAAAAATGAAAATGCAAGGTCAATAACGTGAAACCGAAACCTCTAACCGACCGAAACTTCTCTAATTGGATTAGCTCAGGTTCATTATGTTATCTTTGACGCTTGTGTTTTCAAATTTGTGTGTTCGTTTACCGCCTGGACACTCACCATTTGGTCGTCACCCTCTCTCCTGCTGTGTCTCTCAACCATTTTTAAACTTTTTTAGCTATTCGATTTTTGTTGATGCTTGTCCATTATTTTTTATACGCTTTACAAAATTAGATTATAAAAACGTGCAAATACAAAACGAAGCATCTTGATAGGATCACGCGCTAGCTTTTCAAATAAAAATAAATCGTATTTGTCCTTGGTTACTTGATGATATAATTCGATAAATTTATCTTTCGTGACTTCTCCTCATTGTTCGTTTGCAATATTTCTAACATAAACATTGTCCAGTCCGGGAAATAATATGAAACAACCAGTATTTCGCCTGATAAATCTATCTACATTGTAAAACCCTTGGGCTAGATATACAGAATTACATCTTTTATTACGTGATAATGAAAAATAAGATCTGATCTTGTTCATCTCCTCGTTGTTTAGCGGAATATCGTCAAAGACGATTATTTTATGCTCGGACGAATCAAGTTCGTTCACTAAAATAAGTTCTTCTGGTTGTCTTATCAAAAATATATCATCGCCAGCGCCAAGTTCATCACGAAGCTTATAGTTGAACTCGTTTAGTAATTCGTATTTGTCCTGTTGGGGGTTAATTGTGTAAATATACGCCTTATCATAGTTAAAGTCACCGTTGAGCAAAAGATTTAATAACAAATTTGTTTTACCAGATCCTGTTCGCCCAACAATAAGACAATGACAATCTGGAAGTTCGTTATTATGT